GGGTAGATCAATAGGAAATATAGGGTTTTGTTAGGTAGATTAACCGAAGGGGCCTACCCGATTTTAGAAATAATTATCGGCTTTGGATCACATTATCGATCAGTATTTGAGACTCAAATGGCGCTACCACCGCAACCTCAACCCGATTCCTGATACCCGGGACACTAGATTGATTTCATGAGACTTAAAAATAAAACTCTATTGGGGTGCAGCTACAGCCAACCAATCCCACCTGATCTCATTCTCAAGGGTAATTTAAGCTAATTTTTTCAGTGCAAAGCATCGGGAAGAGAGAGGGAGAATTTGAATTCACCGGGGTTGCTAAAGATCGGGGGAGAGAAATCGAAGTTTTCCGAGTCTAGAGAGAAAGAGAGAGAGAGTTGCAGAAAAATGAAAGACATTGGTGGTGCAAACCTTCGGTGAAGTTAAACTGTTTGACGGTGCCAACTCCACCATCACCCTCACATATATCAACACTTGATATTATGTGAGGCATCACCTTTGGGACGATGTTGTGCACGTCCTTAATGCTCGCCTTCCACAGTCTCGCGGCTGGGAGGGGAGAGACATACTCATCGGATAGAGTGCCGGCAACCATTTTTTCCGATTCCTGTAAAAACAAACAAGAGAAAGAGAAAGGGAAAGGGATAGAGATAGAGATTGTGGAAAGGATGACGATGATGATGCAGAGTTAGAGAGGTATTTATAGATGAAAGTAGTGTGGGTTGGTGAGATTGAGAGTGAGATTGAGAGTGATTTTAGGGCATAAATCATTAAAAAATATATGAATGTGATATTTGAGAGAGTGGTCGTTGCGTGCTAGGAGGAATGAGGGGCGTGGACAAGTAAGCGATATTATTTAAATATTTTTTAAGAGAGGACAGTATATGTGAAAGCAAGACCCGGTATTTTTTTATTAAGGGTGAGTGGTGCAACAATTAGAGAATTTAAATTAATATATTTGGCTGGTTTTTTTGGACGCCTCAAGAAATTCTTAAATGACAGGTAGATTTTTAGGTCATCGTTGAAATTTTTATTATAAAATTACGACGAGCTTCAGAGGTGCACTTTAATTGGATTGTTCAAGGTTGACACCTTATACAAACACCCTTTCATAATGGAATAAGTTCACGTGGGGTTGAAATTTTGTACTGTAAAAAAAGGCACGTTTCAAAAATTTATATTGTTCTGATGTCGAAAAATCCTCTAACTGGTGATCATCTTGACATTGAAATATATGGATGTGAAGAAGAAAAAAAGATTTTAAAGTCCCAAAAAAATTATATCATGTATTAAGTTATCTAGACCATTTATTCTAATGATTTTCATCTGTCGTAAATCTACACTATCAAACTTTCGTAAATTTTTACCAGTATGGGAGACTTGGAGAAGCATGCGTACAATAAAAGAAGAAGAAAGGAAGTGCTTTTGTTTCACACAAATTCTTTGTATTTGAGGCAAAAAAAAACACTTAGTTCATTAAAAAAAAAATGAAAATAGTCTGAAGCTTTAATAGTCATACGAGAAAAATGAAGCTATAACAATTAGTGCTTTTTATTCTATTATCACTATCTAAAAGTTCAGGAGTAAAATTCCAGTTTTACCAAAATTTGAGGGTTGGATTTTTCATGCCTATCAGAGGTAATAACTGAGGAATCTCTCCGATGTAAAGCATGATTTGATTAAACTTTGGAATAAAACAAGAGAGACTAAGCTAGAAGAAAGTACAGCAAGGGATTATTTTTTGTGACTTGCAAACCTTAATTAATATAGCCAAGACAATAATAATTTTCTATCATTTTAGAAGCTATGAAATCTCAGAAATTTCCTATGGCTTTCCCTTTTATGAGAAAGTGGGATATGAGATGCATCAAGGGTGCCTCCATTAATTCCCTAAATAAATTTTAAGTGATAATTGGAGATAGGAAATAGTCATGGGATTATAGGAGGAAATAAGATTTCTATTTTTATTCCGGGTGTGGTTTGTATAAGGTTGAGACCCTCAACAATCAAAGTAGGGCGTACTTTCAAATAGTATCAAAATATATTGTTTTAGTATTATAAATCTTTATAATAGCTTGAAAACTTATTTTCATATCTAATTATAAAATTTGAAGTTAAAAATATTGTAGATCGAGTAGATCTATGAACACTTGAAAATCTTGAAAATTGACAAGATAAATTATACATTACAAGATGCACTATTTTTAATACTTGAAATCTATTTTTTTTTATGTTCATACGTCTTGAGCTCGAGATGATCGAATTGAGGGTCTTTCAGCATCAAAGCAGCCTTTTTTAATGAATTTGTTAGGTGCTCCTTAGTTTAACGATAAAGGGCAGGGAAGGGATAGAGAGGGGAAAACAAAATAGTTACATTAGGCAATATTAAATGGTTTTTTCTTCATGGTAGAGAAAATGTCATTTATCAAAAATTTAATGTAGATGATATATGTGGTAAGAATAAACAAATGGATTTACATAAGGGTCTTCAAACCTGACGGCCAAAGAAGTATTATCATTTTCCTGCTCATGGGCCCACATCAACAAGCAAGTAGGCGTATAACAATCTTCAATTTTCTTTCCTTAGCAATAACAAATATTAACTGATGATTCCTAAGAGTAGGTACTTTAGCCGCTTTTATTTTAGAATTAAATGCTTTATATGATTTGTCCTTTATATAACAACTCATTGTGGTACAATGACAAAGGTTTTTGACATATTTGATTGATAAATATATTGAATTTCACCTAACCTCATGTGCGTTGCACAAGGAGGGGACAAAAATAAAAGCAATACAATCTTAAGAGATTTGTCAATAGTAGTGAATTTGGAGTTTATGTCGACATTTGTGTATAGTATTCATGTAAAAAGTATAAATAGGATATTTCTTTCATTAATAGCTATTTTTTATGGTTCTATTTGGGCTTCAATAAACCTTTTGAGGTAGTTTCATATGCTTTTGAAGTTTTTCCCATTTTTCTAAAGAAAGATGAGGTGGGGAAGAACCTGGGCTTAATTCTAAGCTGAATTTCTACGAAGGATAGGGCCCTGTCCCCACTGACTCACCCCAAAAGAAAATAAAAAATGATGAGGTGGGGAAGAAGGTGGGTGGCACTGGTGACTGACCTTGACTAAGAATGAGTCAAGGTAAGTTGCATATGGATAAGAGTTCATACCATTGATGTGGCAGCACTACAGTTAGAGGACCAGTCAAGCATTGAGAACAAATTTCCCTTACAATAAAAACTAATGGTTAATTAAGTTTTTGGTAAATTTTTAGTAAGAGTAAAGGATGGGCACTGGTGGCTGACCTTGACTAAGAATGACTCTAGGCAAGGTGCATATGGATAAGAGTTAATACCATTGATGTGGGAGCACTATTGTTAGAGAACCACTCAAGCATTGAGAACAAATTTCCCTTACAATAAAAACTAATGGTTAATTAAATTTTTAGTAAGAATAAAGGATGGGGTTTTTGGTGCATCAGCCGATGCACTCTATTCAAGTGGCATCTCCTTCCGCATTCCATCTTAGAGGTGGATTTTGGATCTAAAGTTTTACAGGCAGGTAACTCAACCATAGTGATCATGAAACTAAAAGAAAAGACAATTTATTTAAGACAAATGATTTTAAGTTTTCTTTTTGGATCATTTTTTAATCTTTTTGCTATTTCAAAATAACCTATTTTAAGGTTAAATTCCATTTCTTTTTTTGTCAAATTCATAAAAACTTGCAATAATAACCATGTGAAATTTTAGATCCAAAATCCATGTTTGACATAGATTTTTGGAAGGAGACATATGACTATGGATGCACATTTTCAATAATAAAATCTGACCACTGTTATTAACTGGTACTGGGGCCTAATGAGATATCACAATGGTGCAATTTTAGTTACCTATTTTGGGCCTGTGGGTAATACTGCAGCAATTGAAGCACAAATGAGGGCATTACTTTTCATTGCGGAAGATCAACTGAAAAACATACCTGAGGGGTTTCCATGAATGTAGTAAAATGGGGGATTGTATATTATGAGATGATTTATTTTCAGTACAAAGAGGTCACAATTATTTTTAATCATTAGATGTGAAATATAATAGATGAAAGTGTGTCACAACATTCGAGAAATTTTATTTTGAGTTTTGTGCCCAAATAATATCCCCAACCACTTGCTGTCAAATCTATCGATCAATGATGATTGTGACTTCCATGTACAAAAAAAAAAAATTATCTCATTCTATACATTTCCATAAAATGGTATGAGGTTGAGCAATGTATTTTATGGACTCTTAGCTAGGATGAAATTCAGGACCCGAGCAGGGGGGAAAACATCACCTATGTTCATGCATATTGGAAGAAGCCACCATGCTGGCAAGACAAGGGCGTATAGACAATTCTTTTGGCCAACCCCACCTGGTAACATGAAAAAGTATCACGTTACACTGAAAAAACAAACAAAAAGAAAAGAGACAAATGTTACCCTATGGTTACACTAGTATTCAATGTTTAAAAACCCGACGATTTCTGCTTTAAATTGCCAATTTGATAGGATCGAACTGGTTCTACAATGGTATAAGTACGCCCAGTTCCCCCCTAAAACCCCTTCATATATATATAATATAATGTTTTCTTAGATCCCCTCTAAATCCTCACTATGTAAACCCTTATTTTAATTTTATTTATTTTTTTAATATCTTTTTGGATCACTAATTTGGACCTATCTATATGATCCAAATCACCGATCCAACGAGGGTATGTGGGCGAATGGTCTGCCTTATTTATTTGGGTTCTAAACATTGCCACTTTTACAAAACCCAGATACGAACGGTGAAAGCACCTCACATATCTAGATCGTTGGATCAGCGATCCGGATTAGTTAGGAGCATACTAAATCAGCAATCCATAAAATATTTAAACTAAAAATAAAAGAAAAATTAAACTAGGGGTTATAAAGTGAGGATTTAACAAGGACCTAAAAGGACATTAGATATGCTTAAAAGAGAAAAAATAATAATAATGAAATGGGGGGTTTTAGGGGAACGGGCTGGGAACGGCACCTTGGAACCGGTTCAGTCCAAGCTGAATACTTAGTTACACCATAGAGGACGATATAACAAGGTACATTAAAGATGATTCTATCACTGATTGTTATATGAAAAAACATATAACAAGATTATTTACTTTAAATACGAGGATGGCATAATCATCTTATGCTATTAGGTGTGTCATTGATAGGGTTCAAAGTCCAAAAGAATAAATAAATTAAAACTTTGTGATACACACCAAACTATTGAATTCGCATCCGATGATTAAAAGTGATTGGGATCTTCTTGTACTATCTATAGATAAACAATCTTACAATTCCAGGAAAGGGGCTCGGGTTGTGGTGGTAGCATCCTCACACGTAGTCATTGTTGGATATGGTGATATCCAAAACCACCTAAATTAGTAAATCCCATATTATGTAGGATTGAGATTGATATTGATAAGTTTTCTAAAAGAAATAAAAATCCAAAAAGATTAGGACTTTTGGATATATCGTTTGGTTCTTGAAATATATATAACACTTATAAGAAGTTTCATATTTGGTATGGACTCTTATCCTTATATATATATATATATATATATATATATATATATATATATATAGTA